ACACTCCTTGACTTCTTCAGGAATTTATTTTTTTATATTTTAACTTCTCTTAACGAAAATATTGGCTCCGCCGTCACTGGCTATATATATATATTGATCATTTCCTTCTAAGACATCTTCCCATTTCAAATTTGATATCTTTTATCGTTAATATTATCATACATAAGATGAAATCTAATGAAACAACGTGAACATACACATGATTCCTCGTGAAATTCAGAAAATAATAAGCACAAATGTCCAATTAATAAGCTCATCTCTTCAAAAAACACATTTTTATTCATGTATAATTTCTCTTTTCTCCTAGTACTAAGCTTTCGCTCATTTTATTATGCATTTTTCTGCATGTTGTAATCAAACATTTCTTTAATTTCCTAACGTTTAATTCCCTCCAAGTCCAAGATAGGATTTTGCTATTCGACCTTCTGCTCCTTTTGGGTAAAATCCACCTGGTTTCTTCTCATTTCCACTTCCGTACACTATTCGCAGTATTTCCTCCGGCGTTCTATCGTAGGAAAGCGAGTATTTGTCTCCTGCTAATATATTTCCCCGTATTTTTCTTTCAGCACCTACTGTTGGTTTCACTTTGAGTCCTTCGTCTTTCAATCCATGGCGTCCTAGCTTGTTTCTCAGCTCTGATATCCGATTTGCGAACTCTGCTACTGTTATTCCGTAGGGTTCCACGTTCGCTCTTCCTCGCTCGTAAAGCAATGCTCTTAGAACTGCGTCTTGACCTGATTCTACTCCCAGTAGCCCTGCTCGTAGCTGCAGATTTTGATTTTTGTATCAGAAGTATTACAATTTATCAATTTGAAAGGTAATGAAAATACTCCATGCATGCATTTTATTTCACGTGATGAGATTTGACTGTACATGAAATTTAAGATAGTTATTATTATAATTATATTGTTCATATTTTTGGCGCATTTCTACTGTTCTATTATATACTTATTACTTTTCACCAGCATAAGTACCGAGTGAGTTTGTCTACAAGGCTTATGCAGATGGAAAGTCTAAGATATGAAATAAACTAGGTATATTTATGATAATGAAACTACTATTATAATAAGAGTTACCATGGCAATGTAAGATTTTCTACATATAAAATTAAATCGTCTAAATAATAATACAGCAATTATCCATAAAAAAAAGAACAGTAACCAAGAAAATAAGGTAGATTACCTGTTACAACAGTTATAACTAACTGATAGAATAAAGATTCTTTACATGACATTGTGAGTGTATATAAATTAAGTTATTAAACTAATAATTGAAATAGATTTAAAAAGACAATGACACTGCAACAGCAACAACAACAACAACTAACTCAGTAGTTTCTCACAAGTGGGATTTGGGGAGGGTAAGATGTACGCAGCCTTACCCCTACCCCTGGAAGGATAGAGGGGCTGTTTCCGATAGACCCTCGGCTAGAGAACGACTGAAAGTAGCTAAAATTGGATTTACAAAGACAATGACACTGCAAGTAGCTAAAATTATTAAACTAATACTAGAAAAATTAGATTTAAAAAGACAATGACACTGCAAGTAGCTAAAATTTCAATTCCTGAAAATTGTATATATTTAAATGTCATGTTTTGCCACTTTCTAAAATTGAAATAATGCATGCCATGTAAATTGGAACAAAGATAATAATATTATGTTAAAAGATGTACTAGTTTAGAGAGTAATTTGATTTAATTACCCTTTTGGCTGTAGGGCTATGGAGTTTAGGATTGGCTCCAACATATCCAGTGAGTCCAATATAAGGGATAACATACGAAGCAAGAAGATAATTAATGTCATTAGCGTAAGGATTAAAAAGTGGTTCTAATTGATGTCCAAATGCATCGTTCATTACTGTTGCAAATGCTTCTTTGCTTAGATTTAGCAGTGGCCTTGGAAATCCTTCTACTGTATTCTTCATTGCCCTGCAATATATATATGTGAAATTAAATCAATTCCTGAAGAAGATATGTAGGCGTCATGACACCTATGTTTCTCGGACTTTCCAAAAATATCGTCAGGTATGTGTCGAATCTTTCAAAAGTGGTCTAATTTTTACCGATTCGACATGCGTGCAATAATTTTAAAGAGTTCGCGCAACCTATTTGGTTGAATTGGATAAAGAATACTGGAAAAATGACACTGTATAGCCACTGTTAAAATAATAGCCCAAAAATGTATAAAATTTAGATATTTTTTTTGTATAAATACAAAGTTTTTACAAATTTTATACATTTTTTCGGCTATAAGATGTAAATAGTTTCTGGCACGGGCTAAAAATGATAATACCCCAAGAATATTTGAAACTGGAATTGAAAATAGAGTATTCGGAGGTTGAAATTGTGTTTGAGTACGAATTTTACTTGGAAAAAAAAGTTGAAGCTTTGTGAACGATTCAAACAAATTTCTCAATATTGTATTAATCCAATACACCTTCTGTCTTATTTTATGTTACACTTGTTTTAAGAAAAAATGATACTATCTACGCCCTCAATATACACACACGCACAAATTTTAAACACTTTTTTGCCTTAGTTTCTGGCGCGGATTAAAAATGATATTTGCTAAAAATGTTCCAAAAAGATAGAAAATTACCTGACATGACCAACTTCTTGGAATCCAAATTGAGCAATGACATCTCTAATTAGAGGGCTGAGTTTTGCAATTGTAGCCCCAATAGGTGACGGTCCACCATCTGCAAGTTCAGGTGCAAAACTATCCAATCCATGGCCAAAAGAACCCCACAAGAAAAATTCAGCTTCCATATACTCTAAATTCAATGGAAATTCTAATAAATCCACATCCGATTTTGGCAAGTTGGAACCAATAGAAGCACAACTTGAACTTAGTAGTTGCAAAGAGAGGAAAATCAGTAGTGAGAAATAAGCAAATATCATGGTTACAAGTTACAACTGAAAGAAAGAACGTGCAGCTAGAAGTGGAATGAAGCTTAAGCAAAGGAAGAAAAAAGAAACTAAATTGTTAATATTATGGGTTCAAAATGTAATATTATTGAAACTTTAGTGATTTTTTACACAACCCGCGCACGCGCACATACACACCTATATATATATAAAAGAATTGAACCCGTAGTTTGATAGATACATCTGCTACTGCATGTAGTATGTGTGCAAAATGATGACAAAGACACATGGAGAAAGAAGAGAGAGTTAAAGCTTCTAAATTTCAGGTGGGAAAGAGGCAGTTGAGAAGATTTTGGATCAACTTATTCGGAAAAGTTTTTCATAACTATCGTCATGTTGATGTTTTCTCTTTTCCATTTTTGTTTTGTTTTGGAAATGTCAAATCTTGGTATATTGGCCATTTGGATCTAGGTTAAGTAGGATGCTAAGGCCCATATCCAAAAGGAAGCCCAAGAATTAGAAGATTAAAGGCAAAGGATCAATTGAGGAACACCAATATAATCGATTGAACAATTGAAGAATGATCGAGGCCGGATAGTACAGGCGATTGATGAGTAGCAGTGACAGACGTTTGTCATGTATTCATCGAATTGGTGTAAATATTGAGCGCATGTAAGTTTTTGCCGCCAGACTTTGAATTCAGCAGTCACCAAACAAGCCAAGCCCTGAGGATCGAAGCACGATAATAGCCTACCACACCATGACTCGCCTTAGCTTTTACATGGATGCAAAAGTAAGAAGACGTGTTCTTTCTAAGTGTAGAAGAAGAATAGTAATGGCAGCTATTACTACAGCAAAATAATGATATGAAGAAATGAGTGTACCGAAGACCAACTCAATGAAAACAATTTGAATCATAGGAAAAGACACTTTTGAATAGTTTCTTTCCTTAAAAGGAAAAAAAACAAAATTGAGAAAAAGAAAAATATGAATTCTGGTCTAAAGGAGCGCCACATCACCTTTAAAATATAGATCATACTATTATTATTGATTTATCCTCTCATAAATACTGTAGCAGAAAGAAAACATCTTATATAA